ACGTAAGTGCACGTAATGTGACCAACACCGTACTGTGGGTTTTGCCTTTCGATACCACGTGTTTACACACGTTTACATAAATCATAGAGTATACGGATAGATGGTAAAAATATCTGGATTAAGAGGTTGCTTGTTCTTTGCACAGCATGAAAGAAAGGCCAAATTAATGGGCTGTGATTTTAGTTTTTTCAAGCAGAGGTTGAGTTCAATAATTTGTACAGCCCTCGGAGGATGTTGTAAACATTTAAAGGAAAAAGGTTCCCCACCCCTGCTGTAAATAATAATAAAAATCCTTAAAGTTATAAATCAACATCTCTGTCTCCTATTGATCTGAGTATATTATAAAGAATAGCCAGTTAATTGAAGCATTATAGCACAGGCCTTTGTCAGATTGTATATTACGCTGTTTTTTTTCTGCTTCGAATAGTTCTCTCTTTTTTCACCATACGTGTGTTTGCATCACTGATAAACCAGCAGCAGTATTATACAGGAAGCAGTGTAAAGACCTCAGAACTGGACTGATCCATCCTGATGGCAGCGTGCGTTGAAGCTTGGTGGCGGGCGTGTCTGAAGCTCGACCAACAACCAATCACATGAATCTCCCTCCTCGGACACACAAACACGTGGCTTGATTGGCTAGAGCTTGGACTGGCACATGATTTGATTGGCTGACGCTTCCGTCGAAGCTTGAAAAGTTGAACTTTTCTCTACTTTTGAAGCGAGCAAAGCGAAGCAACGGAACCACAATGCAGTTCGGCAAAGCGTGACGTCACCCCATTCAAAGTGAATGTGAGGAAGCGTTGAAGCTTCAACGCACGCCTCCGTGTGGACGGGCCCATTCTTTAGTGAGACCTGTAAAGACACCAACATTGCTGACTGATCTCAGCGCTGACTTTTATTAGTTCCTCCTTGGCTCCAAAAAGGATGACCTCAGTTTCATCTTTGTTGTATTGAAGAAAGGGGAAATAAAAGGTTTAAAATACAAATGTAGGGGTATTATTAAACTCACTGTATTTTTATTGGTAGATTTATCCTGAATTCATCAAAGGTTAGAAATGGCTAATGCCTCATTTTGCATTTTATGCATATTATTTTTTTCCAGTTCAGGAAACTGTTCATACACACTATAATTACTGTCAGTAGTGAACCAGGAAGTGACATGGTGGATATGTCCCTGTTCACCTGTAGTGTAGCACTCGCACACACCAAGCATTCCATGTTAATTTCTCTATATATTCTGAAGATTTGTACAGAGGCCATCTTCAAACACCATTAACACGCTCATTTATACACACTGTATTACCAATTGCGTTGAATCTCCAGACTTCAAATGTTATGCAACTGTGTTTTTTCTCTCAGATACAGATCAACACCCTGATGACCAGCATGGCTGCCATGGCTAAAGAAGAAGTAAGCTGTTTTTGTCTCCTTCTCTTCTCATCTGTGTATCTATACACGTCTGTAAAACGTGATTGAGATAAGGTAAACCTTCATTGATCCCCGTAGGGAAATTCAGGTGCAGCAACAAGGGTGAAACACAGGATAGTACAGATATGAATTAAGACAAGGATAATAATAAAAGTAAAGAAGTATAGAAGTACAAATATGTGAAAAATGTAACAGTATACACAGGGGCGGCGGGTACTGTAGGCTAGGGAAGGCTAAGCCTTCCCAAATATTTTTGTCACTGCATCCTGGTAAAATAAAAATATAATGTATAATGTTTGTGTCTTTGACATCAGCGCTGCTATGCAGCCACCTGTGCCCTTTACTATGAAGCCAGTTCAACAGACCCTGGATATGTTTGAGTTATCTTAACTAACCCTAACAAACGAGATCTCGCTAAGCGGTCCTACGACGCTGGTTATCAACTCGGTAAATCAAGCCAGGGTTTCTCTCTCCAGCTGAGAGCGCATTCACATGAAAGGGGCGGGGTTAGCTACATTTGACCAATCACAAACATGGACAAGTGTACTGACAGCGCAGCGTCATACTTCTTTAATGAAAAGTAAACTAATATTAGACAAATATTAACTTTAAACATCTATGATTTAAACATATAATCCAGGATACAAGCCACATAGTTGCACCTGCAAGGTGAATACAGAACAACTGGTTAAAAAATAACTACAGAGTGTTTGAAGTTTTATGATATCACTGCCCCATCTAAGACACGAGTGGATCTGACTTTAATTACATTTGAGTTGAGTGTTTCGTAACACTTAAGTAACAACACAAGTAAGTCACATTAAGTAACTTAATGTATTGCTTAAAATAATACGTCTGCATATATGTGACAATGTAGGTGATGCACGGCCAGATACGGCTCGAGAAACTGGCTCAGATAAGGAAATATGATATATTATATGATCGATGTACTGATTGATGATGTGATATGAATGATAAGTGCGACACGTCGGCGTCTTCTCTGCATACGGCAGTTTAAACTGTATTTCCTTTATCCTGTAATATGACTTGATAGATTTAAACTCCGCACACTGAGCTCTGATTGGTCAGTAGGCGGTGCTTTCACAGA